TGTCATATTTGTTTAAATGCAAAATGTAGCTGGGACTCGTCCTGTAGTTAAAGAATTCTTTACTATTGTTCTTATGGGGTGGCTCAGTGGAATAGCATCTTGGTTGCATTCCTGAGAGCTATTACTCTATTTGGATAATCTCTGATCATGATGATCTTAATCTGCACTCAAGGATTGAGGTAGCAAATGTAGTATTTTTTACAACATAACATCGTTCTTGCAACTTTTGGATCTGCTTTTGGTCACATGCATCCTTTTTCATATGGTGATATTCTTATTGGAAGATATGAATGAGAAAATTCTTTAAAAAAATTGTGCTAAAATTCATGGTTTCTATATGTTGACATTTGAAGCTAGAATAATTATTTCTATCTAATAGAACATTTATTTTTTCTGTCTGTTTTGCTTTGTCATCTTTCTGAGTTTTATTTGATTGACAATAAATGTTTCTCATTGTTTTTGCTTCACATGATTGATACAGGGAATGAAGTTATTACCAACGGCCAGGAAAAACATCTTTTACCTAACCATATATGGTTCAGTGGTTAGTTCTTGGAAAAGCCTTCTTTGCTTATACTGGGGCAGTCTTCTTTTTTTTTGACAGTGCAGTTTGGTGAAATCTTACGTACAAGCAGATTTGCTGATCAACTAACTTTCAATGCCTTTCTTGTAAACGTTTAGCTTGGAGCAGGATCATTTTTGTTGCGACACTTCTCTATGTTGGTCAATTCAATCCTAATCAATTTTGGTCTCAGTGAAGAGATGTACAATCCTGTAAGTGCTTTCTCAGCTTCCAGTCTGTAGAATAAGAACATCATGGATATTGCCTTTAGTTCTCTTGATATACAATGACAAGACTTAAATGCGCAGATTGTCATTCAATGTTTTTCATTGGTTTGTTCTACAAGTTTCTCATCTTTTGTAGATGTACAATTATATCTTGTAGGAGACTCAACAAGACACCTTCCTAGCATACCTTCATTTTCTGGTTATAGCTTCAACTAGGGAATCAATTTAGAGAAAAACACAATCTAGGGCAATTCAAATTTGGCTAATCCTTGTTGTCCTTTGCTTTTATTCACTGATCTGTACTTCTCTCGTCCTAAGGAATTTGCGCCCTGAATTTCTTATGTCATAGTGGTTTTGCGGCCTTTCAGGTCACTAGGAATTCCAACTCCTTAGCCTGTCTTCTGTTGTTGCCATTACCCGGAAAGCCCCTTCCCCTATGGATATCATGCTTGGAATTGAAAAGTCCATAGACTATTGTACTGTGTATTATCAACTACTGGCTACAAGTCTATTCCTGGTTTTAAAGTTTTATAATGGTTATTTCTTGTCCTCATCTATGTTTTTTGTTTTCACTTTATTTTCTGTCAGGTCTCTGTTTTCCTGCTAGTTGGAATTACCCTTGCTGGAGCTGGTCTAGGATATTGGCTTGTTCGGAAGTTCGTCATTGCGGAAGACGGCAGTGTTGATGTTGGCATCGCTCAATTTGTGAAATGGGCAATACGAATAGTTGCAGTCACTTTTATTTTCCAGGTCTTTCTTTGTAACTATGGTGATTGTTATATTGTTTCTATGCTGATTGGTTTGTCGATACTTTTATTCAAAATGATGTGAAGCTGCTGGTGTTCTTTGGTCATTATATTTTCCTGGGACCGGAATGCTCCTAATGATTGGCTGTACTAGTGTCACATAGATTGTCAATCAATTATCACCATCCTTCCATATATTGGTCACCTTCACCAATCTTGAATTTGCTTTCCGGCATGTATAACATAGGACTCTTCAAACTTCAATAGTTTATTATCAATTTCCTATCCTTGAAAGGATTCAGCATGTAGAAAGCTGTTGTAGTTGACTGTTTAGAAAGTGGGGTTTTGTACTTCAATATTTGGGTGCTTTGGTTTCTTGCCCATATAATTTAGTTTCTCAAATAAAATATGATTTTCCATCTCAAGAACATGGGATTATCTGTCTATGAGAAGGAGCTGGTGGCATTAGTATTTGCAGTGACCAAGTGGAAGCATTATCTAGTAGGGAACCATTTCATCATCAGAACAGATCACAAGTCATTGAAATTTTTGCTAGAATAAAGATTGACCACTACTGCTCAGTATAAATGGTTAACAAAGCTGCTAGGCTTGGACTATGAGATTCAGTATAAGAAGGGTTCAGAAAACACTATTGCTGATGTCTTATCTAGAAGGACCACGGGGCAACTACAACCTGAACCACAACAGTTGATGGCCATTACTGGGGTTCAACCTCTTTGGATGCAAGAGTTGCAGGACAGTTACTTTGAAGACACACAGTGCAGGGAATTAATGAGTCAACTGCTTCTAGATCCTACACCACAGGACTCTGATTTTCAGCTCAACCAAGGGATACTCAGGTATAAAGGGAAGCTGTTTGTAGGGAATAGCAGGGGAATTAAGCAGAAAATAATCAAAGCTCTGCATGAATCCCCTATTGGAGGCCATTCTGGCCAGAGGGCATGTATACAGAGGGTGCAAAGCATATTTCACTGGCCAGGGATGAAGAAGGAGATCATACAATTCATACAGGAATGTGAAGTTTGTCAAAGGAACAAAAGTGAAAGGGTCCCCTATCCAGGATTACTGCAGCCACTACCAATTCCTACCCAAACTTGGTCGCATATCACTATGGACTTTATTGAAAAGCTACCTTGCTCTAGGGGATTTGACACTATTCTGGTGGCCATAGATAGGCTGACAAAGTTTGGCCATTTCATGCCACTTTCCCACCCATTCTCAGCTGCTCAAGTGGCACAGGTCTTCCTGGATCATGTCTACAAACTCCATGGGTTACCAGAATCCATCATAATAGACAGAGACAAAGTATTCACCAGAAATTTTGGCAGGAGTTATTTAGGATGGCTGGAACTGAGCTGCACTATAGTTCTTCTTACCATCCTGAGACTGATGGTCAGAGTGAGAGGTTAAATCAGTGTTTAGAGACCTATTTGAGATGTATGACCAGTGAGAGTCCAACTCAGTGGAGTCATTGGCTCAGCTTAGTAGAACTTTGGTATAATACTGCATATCACACCAGCTTAGGGGTGTCGCCATTTGAAGCTTTATACGGTTACAAGCCCCTGTCACTACCCATAGGCCCCTACCATGACACAATTATCCCAGCAGCTCACAACATGCTGCAAACCAGAGCTCAAATGCTTCAGAGAATCAAAGAGCATCTGCATCAGGCTCAAAATAGGATGAAGTTGTTTGTTGACAAACATAGAACAGAAAGGGAATTTGAGGTGGGGGATTGGGTCTTCCTGAAGTTGCAGCCTTATAGGCAGCAGACTGTGGCACTCAGGAAAAATCTCAAGTTAACTGCAAAATTTTTTGGACCCTTTCAAATAATGGAGAAGATCAGTGCTGTGGCATACAAGCTCAGGCTTCTGATAAGTGACTAATTTACGTAATAATTGTATGACATTTTATATTATTTTTAGTCACTTTGGTTATATTATTGGAAGAATATGAATCATTTTGGCTATAATTGGTGAATAAATATTTTTAAGTGATTAAATGAGGTTTTTATCACTTTTTACTTGGATTTTGTGTATTTTGACAGTTTTGACACATTTTCGTATTTCGGCTATAACTTGAGTTACAATGATCGGATTGGGATCATTCTTGAACCCATTTGAAGATAAGAGATAGATCTACAACTTTGGTGAAGACATCTAAATCCAGTTTGAAGGTTTTTCAGGTCAAAATGCCGAATTACAATAGCAAATTTCTACTGGTCGAAGGTGGAACAGGGCAATGAGCAGGTAAGGGTATTTCGGTCATTTCTCAGCTTACACAGATCCAAATGAGGTGATTCTTGATGCATTGGAAAGATAACTCATAGGGCTACAAGTTTCATGTTTTGGTCAAGAGCTAAATCAGCTTTTATCATCAAGAAAAATGTAGTTGAAATTGAGTCAAAATCAGAGCAGAGCTGGAAATTGAACCAGAAGTGACCAAATGGTCACTGTATCAATCCGGCGGGAATTTGGCCGGATTTAAGGCCGGATTTCTGGCCGGATGGCGGTCAGAAAAGGCTGCTCTGTACGCGTAAAACTCAATTTCACTCCCACCAACTCACATGTGATGCTATACATGTGAGAAACATTCCCAGCTGTAAAAGGGAGATGTAATCCTCATTTCTTGACCACCTTTCATCATTAAAGAGCCAAATTCATTGCAAGAAGAAAGGGGATTGGAGTTCATAGTAGAAAAATAGAAAGTGAGTTACGGGAGAAGCTTGAAGTTGCAGAAATGTAGCTCTTTCATCTCCCTAGTGTTAGTTTAGCTTAGTATAGAGTAGTGTAGCTTTTCCATTCTTGTTTATTATCTAGATTAGGATGAAGATGGAGGATGAAGAAGGCAAGGAAGACAGCTCATGTGACAAGGGTTGTATTCCTTCCAAATTCTTTATCTTTTGTATTTGATTCCAAGTTTAGTTAATATACAAGTTCTGGATTTTGTGTTCATTATGTGTTTCTAAAGTTTATACCTTGGGTTTGGTTGAACTTTCTATAATTGTTAGTGTTTATTATTTGGTTATTTGATTGCTATGATTTGAGCAAATTATTTAGTACTTTGGCTCTTTAAATCATGATTAATTTGGTACCATTGATTGTGATTATCTAAGGTGTTGTTTCTGCAATGAAAATTGAGATTTAACACTAGTTCAAGAAGTGCTAAACATAGGGAGTACACTCACGAAAGTAGAGGTGCACTTATGTGGTTTCTAGTGATTCATTTCATGTAATTTCATTGAAGAAATGAACTTGTAGCTAATTTCATAACCATGAGAATAGGTATGGATTAGTTATAAGTATAATTGATTCACTACGAAAGTAGGATTCAAATGCATAAGGAAATTACACCATAACTAGCCTAGATGTCGTACTCAATGATCCAAATATAACACTTGCATGAGTAGTTAGGAATACCACAACCCAAGGAGACACTGTCCACTTAAAATAAAGTAAGGTTTGGAAGAGTCAATCCCACAGTAGCAGGAAACTGTCCACTTAATAGATTGTTAGTAATAGAAAAGATCTGGAGTGTCGAAATGTTGTAGAGCTGAGGAGAAACTGCACCTAAAAGTCTATTTGAGGACAGCTCAAGGACATGCAGATTTGAAAGCCAACCAATCTCCGCCGGAATATTTCCACCTAGATTGTTTCTTGACATGTTAAGTATCTGAAGAGAGGAAATATTACCTAAAGATGGTGGAATGCTGCCTGAGAAATTATTCCTGGAAAGGCTCAGGGCGTAAAGCTTAGATAAAGTGCTCAGGTCATCTCGAATTCCCCCGATGAGCCTGTTACCCCTTAAATCAAGAATACTTAGCTCTGAACAACCCGTGATATTTAATGGAAGTTCTCCCTCAAAGGAATTATTGGCAAAACGAAGATACTGAAGCCGAAAAAGCCTGCCTACTTCTTCAGGAATCATACCATGAAAATCGTTATCCTGAATATTGAGTTCTCTGAGAAAGGTAAGGTTTCCTACGGAGGGAGAAAGAGAACCAACCAAGTAAAATGATGACATATTCAAGACAGTGACTCTTTGATGAAGCAGGCCACATGTGACTCCACGCCAATCACAAAAATGAATGGAATCATTCCAGGAGCTTAGAGCCTGGAATGGATCTCCATGTATTAGACCCTTGATGTCAAGCAGAGACTGGTAGTCTGTCTCATTACTCGTCTCAAAATGAATTGCAGCAGCAGAAGCAATAATATAGATATGAAAGAGAGTATAAAACGAAAAACAAGATGAGCTTGCTGGCCTGAAATTCTTCCTTTCATATGCCATTGCGTACAAGAATTAAAGCTCAGAAAAGCAGATGATAGTTAACTACTCAGAACGAGGATAACGCATATATGCAACAAAAGCATATGCATCTTCTCCTGTGTTGATGTTTCATAAGAAGTTGACTAGTATCCTCTCTTCCTGTTCATGGCGTAAGCAGGAAAATGACCTTTCCCTTGGTATCATGCATCGAAGTGAGTGAGGAACAGGGGACGAAAATGTGCAAGAGTGGAATTTATGTATTTGCGTTTTTAGATTAGCTATCCACTGTTGTCTTTAGTTGAACCTTTGCATTTAGCAAGAATAGCACCTCCAATAGTCAACTTTTTTGAACTGCTAATTCACGTAGTCCTTTAAGTCAAATTTTCCATTTACTTAGTTTGGAATTTGGATTGGCATCTACGCTGCATTTGATGGAATACTACGAAAGCCTGCAACTGATGTCAAGTAAAAGATGTGATTAAATTCAAGGCTGAATGTGAACTCAATGCCTAACCTCCTAGCGTCGGACCAGACAGGCACCCGCTATTGAAATTTTTAGAAAAGCCTACATCCTTAAATTCCTAGTGGCCAAGTCAGCTGGTTCTGTAAACTTTTGTCAAGAAATGTACTTGTTCTTGGGAAAAGAAGAATGATATCATAAAAGATATCCGCGTATGTTAAAGCAGTTAGTTCTAGAATATCGGATGAAAGTGACCTAGAGATATATCGATATCTGTTATTATATCACATAATTTGGACTTAGCAAGGGACCCAGTCTGCCCATCATCTTAAATTTGGACTTCCTTTTTTAGAATGCCCGCTTTTTGGACTTTAACATCATTAATAACATATTAGGAAAAATGCTAAATATAGTCCCTCGCGTTTCCTGAAAATAATTTATTTTTTCGTCACGTCTAAATTCAAATTCCTATTCCAAAGAATGACGCTAGGACACTTTTTCGAAATAAAGAAAGCCAGAAGAAAAAAAAATGAATTCAGTAATAAATCAAAAAGGAAAGCCTCACCACAAATTCGGTAGAAGTTTAGGAAATAATGTATATACCCTTTATGAAAATAATTGTACAAATCAAATATTCATAAACGTAGAAACACCATAAGATAGTCAGGGTGTGACATGTCGTGACCATTCATGTTAATGGAAACCAAAAGTAAAAACAAGTCTTTTGGTAAGATAGAAATGCATTTTTGGTCTCTAATATTTAACCCATATGCTAAACTAGTTCCTAATATTTAGATCAAAGCAATTTTGATTCCTGAAATTTCTGATTTTATACAAATTTAGGACTAATGACATCAATTTGACAATCCTAATAGTCAAAATCAATTTTTGTTAGTCAAGAATTTTGAACGTGCATTTTTGGCTCAATTATTTGGATAGTGAATCATTATAGTTTCTTAAGTTTCAAATAATAATTATAGAGGTTTAAAGCTAGAATGAGATACTAGTTAGATTGAAAATGCTATATATATGCACGAGAAATTTAATTAAACTTCTTGTTCTTCTTTTCTTTATTTCAGTTATCCATAAGACTCGTTTCTTTAGCCTTTCCTCTCATTTGCATTTATAGTTGGTCTCAAATTGGGCATACTATATGTATTTATTATTTTTCACCATAATATTTAATTGATCATGAGTTACAGTATCATTTTTTGATATAGGTATCTCTTTAAAGTACGAACAATATATACTTTATGTAAATTATTAAAAACTCATATTGATTTTAAAAACTCAATTAAATATCCCTTTAAAATATGAACAATGTATACTTTATGTTAATTAAGTTGATAATCTAATAGACTTTTTATTTAATATTTTTTTATTTTTACATTTCAATAGGTAATCAATTAAGTTTCAAATTAAATAGGTATTGTATAGAATTATTTGGATTATTCAATAAAATTATCAATACGCATGACCATCAAAATAATTACTCCAATGTTTTATCATTGGAACATTAGGTTTTAATGGGAAGGAAAGAAAATAAAATAAAATAATTTTTTTAAAAATATCCGTAAAAGCACTTTGTATTGCTACTATGCCTTAGTTATTGTAACCATAATTTTAGCTATAACCATTTGAAACCTACATCTATAAGTACTTCAAAATTTGTGTAGTAGTTAAAAAGGATTTATGTATCAACATCAGAGTTCTCCTCTTTTGCCACTAATTTTTATTTTGTATATTATCTGTATATCCTTATTTGGTTGCAACTTATTTAACAAAGAGTCGCTTTTAGAATCGAGGATTGTTATGATTTTTTTTATAAGGATTTAGGAATATATCTATCATATACATAATTCAATTCTAAAAATATAACTATGCTTATTAGAAACTAAGGGACTATATTGGTTGAAATTCCAAATATTATGAACAAAAAAATGCAAAGTCAAAACTTTTGACTAATGCCAATTTGATTTTGACAGTTGATTATTGTTATTTTTTGCTAGTTATTCTAAATTTGCATAAAATCAAATTTTGAGGTCTAAACTTATTTTGAATTAAATATTAGGAACCAATGATATGAATCCGGCTGCCATCCAAGCTAGTTGAGAATGCATTTATGAACAACTTCTAGTTCTAATTAGTTTAGTCATGAGAACCCATGCTCAAAGAGTTCAAATGGTTACTTTGCGAGACAATTCTAGCTTTGGTTCTAAAAAGATGAGTTAGACAACGTTGGAACTATCTTTAATCTAATTCAAGTTGATGAGCATCCAATGGGCCAAGTTTTTGTGGCTGAAGACTTTCGTGTTGTAGGCCGCGGGCACGTCTTGTGACTGAGCGCGAGAAATTATGACCAGAAGACCTGTGTTGTGTTAAGTGTGGGCACGGCATTGATAGTCTGTTAGGAGCAGGGACGTAATTGCAATTGGAGCAAAAGTTTTAGGGGTGTTAGTGTAATTAGCTTATGGAGCCAAAAGCTGTTAAAAGTTAATTATAACTGAATTTGTTAGCATCAGATCATTGCACGGAAATTCTGTGTCAATTGGATTCAGATCCATCATTGGAATTGTATAAATCCAGGACAATGTAATGGATTGGATAACAAGTAATACAATCACAATTTTCTCCCGAATTCTTATTCTTCCTCTCTCTCTCTCTCTCTCTCTCTCTCTCTCTCCCTTTTCCCTCCCTTTCTGTTCTTCATTCATTCAAATCTCCCTTGAATCTGCTGGCCACACTTCCTCCTCAATTCTACCTTGGAAGAGCCTGACAAATTGGTATCAGAGCTGACGATCCTTCGGCAGCTCAGAGATCAATCAATGGCAGAGAGTACACGCTTCAAAACCTTAGAAGACCATCTCCGGAAGCAAGAACTCAAATTGCAGGAAGTTATGGAGGATATGAAGAACATACAGCTACAAGTAAAGGAAGAAATGGCAGGCAGGGACAAAAGATTGGATACGATCGCGCTAGGCATGGATCAGAAGTTTGAGGCACTCAGTTCAATGATGAAGACACTACTGAGCAGGGAGAAGAGTGCAGAAGAAGAAGGCAAAACTGGCAGAGATCGTACACCATTACTACCCACACCTCCCATACACCAGAGGCTGAACTTGGGAGCAGATGAGGAAGTTAGGAGTTGCGAGTTCTTGGGTAAGATTCCTGGCTATAATCCTCCAAAGATTGAGTTACATATGTTCAGTGGGGAAAATTCTAGGGAATGGATCAGAAAATGTAACAAGTACTTCTTGTTGAATAAGGTAACCGAGGAACATAAATTGCTGGTAGTAGAGATGTTTTTAGAAAGTAGAGCTGATAATTGGTTCCAGGGAATCAAATTAGAAAAACCAAGGCTAACATGGGGGAATTTGGGGAGCTGCTCTGTCAAAGATTCAAAGGAACATGCTGTAGAGATATTGTAGAGGAGTTCAACAAACTGCAGCAGATGAGTACAGTAGAGGTCTACCAGGAAAAGTTTGAGGAGTTAAAAACATTAATGCTGATTCAGAATCCAAGCCTTAGTGAGGAATACTTCATTTCCAGTTTCACCAGTGGTCTCGAGGAGAAGATTAAACCTATGGTGAGAATGCTCAAGCCAAATACTCTTTCTGGAGTTATGGAGGTAGCTCATTTGCAGGAACAGGCTCTCAGGTTACAAGGCAGGACAGTCAAGGATGGCAACAAGGTGATGGCTGAACCCAAGTTTGGGATGTACAGGCATCCAACCTCTGCCAATGGAGGAGTCAGTACTTACAAGCTACCACAGAACAACATACCTAGGGTAGCTCCCAAAAATCCAGACAAGAGTCCAGAATTTAAGAGGCTATCCCCACAGGAACTGCAGTTCAGAAGGAGTAATGGACTGTGCTTTAAGTGTGGGGAGAAATTTGGGGTAGGACATCAGTGCAGGATGAAGCACTTGAACCTTATGTTGTATGAAGAGGAGGAGGACAATGAATTCCAGGATGCTCAAGGGGAACAGGATGAGCTGACTGGGAATCCAGGAGAACCAATTGAAATTTCACTCAATGCTCTATAAGACTCACTCAGACGAAATACTATCATGTTGCAAGGACGGATGGCAGGGGAACCTGTCAAAATTTTGGTGGATACAGGTAGCAGTGACAGCTACATCCACCACAAGCTGGTGTCTGCACAAGGCATTCCCTTCGAATATGTCAAGCCTTTCACGGTCACAATGGGGGATGGGAGCTTGGTAACCAGTGGAGCTCAGTGTCCAAAGGTCTTGTGGAATGTTCAGAATAATAAGTTTTGCTTTGACCTCAGGATCATGGAACTAGGAGATTGGGATATTATTTTGGGGGTAGACTGGATGCACAATTACAGCCCCATCACTTTTGACTTTCATCAGCTAAAAATCTCCATGTTCCATCAAGGAGAGGTGGTCACATTGCATGGAGCAGTTAATGATGCAACCATGGAACTTATTAGGAGGAAGGATCTCAGAGGCTTTCTGCAGGAGAAAAAGAGATGTTGTGCTGTTTCAGCACAAAATGAAGAACAGGACACAAGGAAGCCAAGGGTTCCAGAATCA